AAGGAAAACTTAATTTTAATTTTGTAAGTTTTTTATCAAGCTTGCTAAATACTGTGCACAGCAAACAACCTCAAAATGGTGTTCTTTTTGTTTATTGTATTTATTTATTTATTGTATTTAAATTATTAATCAAAATATTTCTGTTGAAATTTTATCCTTGTGGTATCGAAAATGGTATCGAGTATCGAATATTTTCCTTAGTATCGGTATCGAGTTGAAAAGTTTAATATCGTGACAACCCTACAATACTCAGACACTTCAAACTGGGCTTATATTACTTCACACAACATTCCCACTTTGTGGTTTGTAAACGTTTTATCTGATTTCTGAAACTTTAATAAATGGCCTTAAAATAGCTTTTTGTTGCCTCTGAAACACATGAGAAACGGTTTGGGCTCAAAAACCACAACAGCTTGAACCTTTAAACCAGAAATATATTATTCCACAGAAACAGCAGAATATTTACAAACCCAGTTTGGTATTTGTGAAGCCATCCTTAATGGCTTGATCTCTTATAGTCTTTCAGTGGATCTGGAGTACACTCTGACTAAAGACACGGTTGTTATACGGAAGTCTGATAAAGAGGATGCTCAAATCAACACCAAAACTCAGATATCACATTTAGGGCAACAACTTGAAAGACAAGTTGTAAACAAAACTGTAAACTTAAAAAGATAAGTTACCTGGAAACTTATTACAATAACCAAATGTTTTGCAAATGTCACGGGGGTAAAGCAAATCAAAACCAGCGTTTAAGCTGTGCAAACAATGCAAAACTAACATTTGGTAACTGTTGTTATAATAAAAACATAGAAAACATTATAATAGAATGTTAAATCAAAGTGACCTTGAAAGATAAGATTACGGGCTATATTTCCACAAAGAGACAATCTAAAACACCAAAACCGTACTAACGTTCCTAATGTTGTTCAAAATTTAATTCTTCTGGCAGCAAAGGCATCTATGGTTTCATAATAAATATGTACATACATTAAATTATCTTTTTCCTTTACATTTATTTTTATAAAGATCTATAACTCCACACCTTGATGCAGTGGAAAAGTTTGTTACATCTAAAGATAAATATAGCAGAAACCTGTTTGAGCCTGAAAAAGACTGGAAAATTAACCGGAAGTTAAACAACCCTTAACCTACAGCCGGAATAACAATCTAATGATTACATGAAGCATGTCTCTCTATTACAAAGGCCTAGTTAAAGCCCAGAATTAGATCAGATTGAGAATCTGTTGAAGAATGTGAAAATTTATGTTTAAGGAAACTTTATTCAAGCTGACTAAACTTTTAACCTGACTCCGCCAGATGGATTTGCTCCGCATATCCATCTTAAAACCTTCCGCTGAAG